TTGAAAATGGAATCGGAATCGTGAAAATCTTATCAATTCCCATCCCTATAAACAGCTATTAATAACCGAAGGCAGAAGGCTCACACAGTTGTTCTCGGGTGTCTGTGCGTGTGTCGTGCCATCACTTATTTAATGGGGAAGGCCTGACAGGCTCTGTGTGACGTCAGAAAAGGGAACACATTCGCGCACCAACTGGGGATGACAGTTGGGTCGGTACATGATGGCACGCCATGTGTTTGAAATCTCCAGTGGAGACCCAGAAATACTTCAGTCACACCTCGTGTAGTGAGACGTCTGACCTGCGCCTCAGCGCTGCCACTGACTGAGAGCATCTGTGACATGTGGTTTGGATAGATTCAATTTTAAGTCAGTTTTCAACACTATAGATTTGATGTTCTCATTAGTAGTTGGCGACTACTGTGCTCACAAATCTTCACATTAGGACTCTGGATTAAACAGTCTACTCTCAATATTAAAAAAAATAAATTCACATTCGCTCAGTTGAGGCTTTGCAAACACATGATTACTGACCACATGACATTAACTTTTCGGCCATTCTGAACATATGACTATCGTGGTGACAATGCAGGATCCAGTGAATAAGACCCCAGTCATACAAGCCTACAGACTGCACCGCCACCATCTGGTAAATAGTAGTCATCACGGAAAACTGAGTATTTCCCAACCTGTTATGTGTCATTGCTGGAGGTTGGTGGCAGCAACTGGGAACATGATCGCTAAAGTGCTAGTCACAGAGGCCTACAGTCAGTGACCCCATGGCAACCAGCAGGTAAAAACACATATTCCCCCAAAACCTCTTTGTGATTGCTTCAGTTGCTAGCACATTGCTGCAGTCTCGTTTGAACGGATGTGTCGGCTTTTTCTACAAACATCAGTCGGCTCCTCTCTGCGCCATTTGAAACCTCTGAGACACAACTTTTACTTTGAGGCCAAACCTTCTACATGTCCAGCTTGCGTTACACTTTCTCAAACTGTACTGATGCTTGGCTGATGTGAAAAAGTACAGGTTTATACTGGAATAAGCTAGCAAGGTTTGGGATTTAGCACTTTCTTTGCAAAAAAACGCCATGTGTATATGTATGTATATATATATATATACGTATATATAAATACTTTTTTGCCCCACTGTACATATACATATATATATATATGTGTATATACAGT